GCCACTTGTTTGTAAAATTTGATGCAAAATCAATAAAAAAAAGTAAAAAAAAAAAGAACAGTCTCTTTTGAGAAATAAATGAGCACAGTATATAGGTCACTGCATTTTAATTCCAGCCCTCCCGGACTACTAACAAAGTCATATATTCAGGATACCTCTGACTTGGCACAGCTAAGTTAATGAAATTTTCAGCCCATTAAACTGCAGCACATGTAAGCATGTAAGAATATCATTTGAACCAGAAGTCTTAGTGGTCCTTGTGGAGTTAAATAATTGTAAATCTTCACCATTCCTTTCTATAAATTATTTTATAATAAAACAAAATATTATTAGGTGTATTATTTTTTTTTTTAGTAGAAAAGTTATGATGAACATTTAGCAGATCTAGGTCCCAAATAGTATTTGTATAGTGAAACAATATAAAAGTGGAAAAAACAAAAATATTTAAAGATGTGTGAGCAACAGCGAATTCACCTACATTTCAATTCTGATTAAAAAATAGTATGTCTCAATTTAATATCTGAAGCCAGTGATGCAAGACGTCATACACTTTCAGTAAGGGCTTGAGTTTTGAGAACATTTCAGACGAGTTTAATTTCTTACCAAGAGAAAAAAAGGAGAATTGGGGCACATCCAAAACATGCATTTCTAAGTAGTGGTGCTACCGTAAAGATCAACATTATACACAAAGTACAGATTAAGGAATAGCGCACACAAAATAAATTTAGTTTAACATTTTACAAGGCAATTTAAAAACACATATCTTAGCAAACAAATATAGGGATTCAGATACACCATGTGGTGGTGTTACATCAAAGACCTAAATGTATACAAAATATAGTTAAAGGAATAGTACACACACACAAAAAAAAAAAAAATAGAGGTTTACATTTTAGAAGGCTATTTAAAACCCCCTATCTTACCAGTGTCTTGAGCTGGCAATTTAAGGTCTCAGCTGGCTAGTCAGAGGCACATAGGGTTGGAAAACAGCTATATGTGAAGACTAATAAGGAAGCCTGCCAGGGTTATTAAATAAACAATGTGGAGGCCATGAGGGTGGGGGGATCTAAGGACTACATAGTGCCAGGAAAACAAGTTTTGTTTCCTGGCACTATAGTGGTCCTTTAACAAAGCGGCCGCACAGCTCTAGACTATATTCAACTGCCTAAGGCAGGAGTGTATGAATATGAGTTGGCCTACCCAGTGTCGAAAGCCACAACAAAGGTCACAGCAAGTAAGCTTCTGAAGGAACTGGTATGTAGATACGGAGTACGTGAAGTGATTGAAAGTGACAGAGGTAGCCATTTCACTGGGGAAATAATTCAAGAAATTATGAAAGACAGAGTGCATAAGCAAGTCTTTGATTCCATTCCAGATCCAGACTCTGATTCTGCAACTCACAAACTGCAGCTTGGGGATTGGGTGGGGATAAAGAGGCATGTAAGGATAGGACTTGAACCACGCTTTGACAGTCCATTCCAAGTGCCCCTGACTAGGTCTACCTCTTTGAAACTAGAGGGAAAAGCCACGTGGATACAAGCCAGTTACTGTAAACAAGTCAGTCTGACTGATCCACCGACATGAAGCTGTTCTTATCCTTTACCATTGTATGCTCTGTTCAGATATGCTAACCTGACTTGAGACCAAAAGATAATAATGCATGGCAGGGAAATATATGGTTGCAGATAGCAAAGGCTTTTGATTTAACCTCCTTTTGCCTCAACTCTCTCCTCAGTGCTGAACACACCATACATTCTTGTCTTATAGCTGTTCCTACCCCCATCTCACTCTTGAGGAAGTACCTACATACCCATAGATCCCATAAATCTCTACAACTATATTCTTATGCTTTCAACTCACTGGTAGACAAGCCCCTTCTAGCCCCGAAGACAATTAATGTGACAGCCGCTGAACTGTTGGTCTGTTTCATGTAATTGTTCAAGAGACCCTAATAATGAATTCCAGTTTTGCCCCACATGGTGGAAAAATACCACAAATTGTAGAGCACTGAGGACCACTATGAATTGTACCAAAACTCACTAATGTCACGATTCAGGGAACCCAACACGCTGGCACACACACACACACACACACACAAAAGGTGCCGTACCGGACCTTAGAGTGGCCGGGCTAAGCACACACTGAATAGTCAGGAGACAAGCCGAGTAAGGGGAACCAGAAGACAGAATAACGAGAAACAAGCCGAAGTCAAAGGGTAGGAGAAAGTCACAGAGTCAGTTAAACAAGCCAGAGAGTACGTAACCAGAAGCACAAGGTAAGTAGCAATACTAAAAAGCAAAGACCACAACAGGGCAGGGAGGAACAGGAAAGGTAAGTATTTAAACCATAAGGTTAATTCTGATTGGATAATTTCCAATCAGAATTAACAATCGCACGTGGGAGATATCTAGACCTCCCACTGTGATTAAGGCACTGTGCCTTTAATGCCGGGTCAGGTGACTGGCCCCGGCGTGTATAAACCTGGGTGGTCTCCCAGCGTGCAGCGTCATGTATGCTGCCGCTGGGGGACGTGGAGGAAACGGCGGGCGGCATCCGAGGCTGGAAGGATGCCGCTCGTCGGACCCACGAGGAGGAGGGGACCGCGGACGGCTGGAGGGTGAGTACCGCGAGCGGAGTGCAGCCTCCCCTCGCAGCCGCCCGCGGGATCCCGACAACTAAGTTATGAGTTACCACTACCATTTCTATCTCCCTAAAGGATGGACCTTCTCCTGTGGAAATATTACTTTTGCTTATGTCCCAGGTAAAATACAGGAGCTCCCTGTGCAATCTCACGCATAACAATGACCATGTTTTCCAAATCTGACCTCATCCCTGAAACCAACCAGCTACACAAACCACAGAGAGAGAGGAGAGATGTTATAAACACCCTTACTTCAGATTGTAACCCTGAAATCACTCTTTTATCTAAATCCAAATACTCTGCCCTTGCGTACTCAATGGTAGGAGTCCCAGGCTTAGCACTATATAATACCCGAGTAATTAACGCTGTAGCCTGTTCCCTTGCAAAGGATTTAAATGTCACTTCCCAGGCCTAGAAGCGCTACTTATGGACACCCAAGCAAACAAGAAGGCAATCCTTGAGAATAGAGCAGCCATTGACTGCTTACTAATGAAACATGACTTGAAGCTGGGAAGCTATTGAAGGTATGCACTGTTTTAACCTATCTGACCATGGCACTAAGATCCATAAACATATAAAAGATTTACATTACTTAATACAGGATATCAAACAGGATACTGGCTACTTTGGGGATTGGGATTAGACATTTGGGCTAGGAACATGGTTGACTTTACTAATTAAGAACATTTTGTACTTTTTGCTATTAGCTGTATTTGTTATTATGCCATTTTGCTAACCTTTAGATTCTTCTCATGTCTACTAACCTCTCTATGTAAAAAAAATCTACTGTTGGTCGTAACTTAAGTTACAGTCCAGCTCCAATTTCGGAAGGTTTTTACAATGTTACCTCGCCTAACAAATAAAGGAACTCTCCTCAGCTGATTCTGGTGGTCTCTCAGTCCAAGGAAACCATAGTGAAGAAATAAATGAAAGTCCCACAGGCTTTGGCTAGCAGGCCTGGAAATACCTTGGACATTTGGGTGACCTTTGGATCAAAAGAGGGGATTGTGATTTTACTTTAATTTCAAGCTTATAGGTGTCATATTAGATATCCTATATTAAAATTGGCTAACTTGGACTCAGGAAATGCTTAATGCTTAAAATTACACTTAAGACCATATATGTCTAGTTCCGGGAGCAGAGAGTCCCCACCTGAGCTGTCTCTCCTAAATCAGTCTGTTTTTTTCTCTGAAATTATCTGTTATATGTACATGAGGATCATCCCTATGTCTTATCTGTACTCTTTTCACCCTCTCACTCCCTTCCTACTACTGTCCTATTTGCATGTAAGCACTTACTTTTTAATGTATAAAAACACAACTGACAAAATAAAGGTCAGAGGCTTATTTTGAATACCAACAGGTGTCTGGTGTCTGAATTCACGCTTCTCCAAGTGCACTTGAAATAATAAACTTATAATTACATTTGGGCTCCCTTGAATATACCAAAGATCACATTGGATCTATGATGTGGATATCAATCAATAAATTGATTATCTTGTGTATCTGCCCATGGTCAAATTAAAGAGATAGTGCGTGCACGCTCCTGAAGTAATTCACACCGGACACACGTTTCAGGTTAATAAAAAACTTGAGGAATCTTTATTCAGGGGGGACGACATGTCCCTTTTAAAGCAAAATTACATCATAAGCATTGTCAGAGATAACATGAAATAATACATCAATAATTGGTTAGGTGTTAAGTGGTTCATTTAATGCTCTTCCTACTGAGGGTGATGTCACCGGCATAGTGGAGGTCTCCCCCAGATTCCAGCGCTATCTTGCTAATGAGAGTGTTAGTCGATGTTAAAGGGGAGACTCCCTAGCGGCCATTTTTAGATAATCACACAGAAAGTTGAATAATGCTGATTGTAGTTATGTTGAGTAAAAATACATTTTACTAGTATGGATTGGGTTAATATTTATGTCCACAACAATCTATATCACTATAGTGTACCTTTAAATAACTATACCCTTAATTTTTTATTTTTTGGGGGTGTTGATATATTTTTTGGAAATTTACTGTGAAAATGCTAGTGCTGTATTATGTACCATGTATCTTTGTCCGTTATTCACTACACTGGCTTACAAATAAAGAATTTAAAAAAGAAAACATCTCTAATGTTTACAACTCAGGTTCTTGACCTCATCTCCTTAAAACGTTTGTGTCAGAGACAGTGTCAAATATCTAACTGTACACTGATCTCAAGTGTTTACAACTCTGATTGTTGGCAATCATCTCCATGGAGATGACGATGTCACAGACAGTGGTGACCATACTGGATGCTGAGAGCCAGAGACTCATTTCAGTCAGCAGAATGATCAGAGTCAGACGTCCATCTAAAAAGCTGAGTGACTGACAGCAATATGATGTAGGTATTCATGATATTTCTTTTTAAACTAAGTCAACTTTCATGGGAGAAGTCCAGTTTAAAACTTTACTATAATAATAACAACTAGTATTTCTATAGCACTTTTCTCCCAGTGGGGAGTTTGGGAAGGAGACGTGTGAGTTGAAGCAGAGGCACAGCTAGGGTTGCCACCTGACCAGTATTTTACCGGCACAACTGATATTTGAGGCTGAGTGGCCGGTGCCCCGGTTGCTGGAATACCAGCAATTCAGTGGCCGATATCTCTGTCCGATGGAACTCTGAGTGTATCTCCCAGATCTGCATGTATCTCTCTCCACGTTCCCTAAGACAGACAGATACTCTCAGATCGATATGTAACTCTGCCCCCTTCCTCCTGTTTGCTCTCCTCTGTGTGTATTGTGGCTGCCTCCTGCCTACCTTCCCAGCACTGAAGTGATTAAAAGGCAGAGCAGCTTTTTACAACTCTGCAGTACTCATTCCTCGCCCCCCCCTTTCCACAATCGGACACAGGGAGATAGACTTCTGAGTAAGTAGCCAGGTATCTCTGCAGGTAGGATTTATAGAAGGAGAGCAGACCTGCTCAGTGCTGAAGATGGGAATACTTAGGGACATAAAGAAAATATACAGCAATATTTATTTATGTTTCTTAATTGCGACTGCATGTATGACTGTATGTCTGAGTCATGTCTAAGTCTGAATGTCTGTGTCTGTATGACTATGTCTGTATGTCTATGTGTGCCTGTATGTCTGTGTCTGTATGTATGTGCCTGTATGACTGTATATGACATTGTCTGTATGTTTGTGTCTCTTTGTCTGAGTCTGTATGTCTCTGTATGACAGTGTTTCTGTACGTGTGTGTATGACAGTGTCTGACTATGTCTGTATGTCAATGTATGTTTGTGTACGACTGTCACTGTATGCCTGTGTCTGTATATCACCGTTCAACTGTATGTTTGTATAGGGTAGTGTCTGTGTTACTGTGTTTGTATCTCACACTATGATGGTATGTCTGTGTAGGAAAGTGTCTGTTTCCCTATGTCTGTATGTCTTTGTATGTCTTTGTATGAGAGGGTCTTTGTGTCTTTGTATGTGTATGTGTAGATTGTATGACTATATGCCTGTATTACTGTGTTTGATTGTGTGTCTTTTTTACGACTGTATGTATATCTTTGTAACTACATAGCTAAATCTGTGGTCCTGTATGGTTGTGTGTCTGTATGTTTGTGTCTTTGTTCATATATGTCTTTTTGCCTGTATATCTATGTCTGTATGGCTGGGGAAGAAAGAGACACTCAAAGTGGCTGGAGGGGGAGAGATAAAGGGACACACAAAGAGGCTGGGGGGAGAAAGGGATACAGCAATGGGGCTGTGGAGAAAGAAACACACAATGGGACTAGGCAGAGTAAGAAACAAAGGAGCAGGGGGGAGTAAGAGACACAAAATGGGGCTGGTGGGGAAGTAAGAGACACAAAAAGGGTCTGAGGAAGTAAGAGACAGACTAGGATGATTGTAGGAAACACACAAGGTGGATTGTAAGGGGGGAGAAGATAAACTAAAGGGCCAAAAGGGGGTAAGACATTGTATGAGAAACATAAAAGTGGCTAAAGAAGTTAAGAGATTCAAAGAGGGGGTTATGAGACACGTAGGTGAAGATGCATTTTTGTGGAGAAGGTGGAAAAATGCATCTTTGCTTGTGTAGCCAAAAATCCTTGCACCGCTCCTGACTACGTCAACAATCAGACACGGTATACACATAATGACACACTGCCACAAACACACACAGCATACACAATCAGATATGGTATACACACAATGCTACACCCACACTCTGTATACACAGTATACACTATCACACTCACTGCTACGCATACACAATGCTATACACACAATTAGACATAGTACACATTGTAATTGTAGTTTAGCAATTTAGGGAACTATTTTTTTTTCTTGTATGTCAAATTCAATATACCTTTCGTTCACACACGCTTACTAAGCTTTAAGATACACCCTCATTCAAATACACACACACACTGACAGATGTCAGATATATCACTTAATTCACACATGCTTAAACTCTGCACAAATACAAATGCACTCCTCATTCACATATACACTGACACAAGTTTCAAATACACCTCTCACTCATACACTGACACATTTCAGATACACCCTTTTTTCACAAATACACACACTGGTAGATGTCTGATACATCCCCTCCTTCACACACTTACACTTTGCACACACACAAATACACTCCTGCATTCACATATACAGTGCTCAAACATACTGTATTCACACACAGACTTTCAACACTAATACACACTGCATTCACATACCAACACTCCCCTATGTTCACACACAAGTCCTCCACAAAAATACACCACTACATTCACATTCAACATAAATACACCCTTACATTCAAACATCAAAATTCCATACAAATGCACTCCTGATTTTACAAATATCTATTCTATTCACTCATTCATTTACACATTTACACTGCATGCACGTCTGAATTATATACTCTCTGGCATTACACAAATTATACTATAGTATTTACACATATCAACATTACACAAACATACACTACTACTTTGATGCATAGAATTATAATATGAAATATTGAAAGGAATGCACACAGTAATCATTAAAGTAAGAATTGACAGAAAGTCTAAGTGAATTTCAAATGGAATGCCTGTATAATTAAAATGAACAATAAAATTGACTTGGAGAGATTTTCTAATAGAACTATTTATAGGCCTATAGTTTAAATTTCACTTTTCACAGCAATTCTCACTTAAGAGAATAACCCTGACTGTGTTTTTTGAACGTTATATTTAACATGTAATTAAAGGAACACTATAGTGTAAGGCATACAAACATGTATTCCTGACACTACAGTTTTGAAAGCATAGTTTAGGTGGCCAGCCCCTCTGTCAGTTTTTGCTCACCTTTATTCTAGCACTGCCCATTCTTGTTACAGCTGGCTCCACCCCACTCCGCCTCCTTTGCTGGAATCAAATTTTACCACATGACAGGAGGCTTCATATTTTGCATTAACTTTCTTTAATAACTCCATAGTAGCAAAGAAAAAAACAGTTTAAAGAAAGAACCAATCAGAGTGAGTCAGAGAGTATATAAGTCCCAGCCTAGCCAATCATTTCCTCTTTCTTTGCTGCTCCATCACAAATCAGGTCAGAGTACTGATTCCTTAACTGTCTTTTATGTACATGTTAGTATGTTAATAGTATAGTATGCATAGCTGGATTTAACTGTTTATATATGTACTGGGGGGTGGCAGGGTAACAGTTGGTTCTGGGGATCCCCCTGCTTCGCCTCAGATCCGTTATGTGGGGAAAGCCTCATTTCCTTTCCCTCCCCTCTTTATCCTTGAGTGGCTACGTTCGCCACTTTGACATAATTTTTTTCCCGCCCTGTTCGTGACTTTTTTCTACATGAACAGAGCAGGCTAGCTCAGGATTCGTGCGCGTTTGCCTGCAATTGCACAAATGGAGCGGGCAGGCTCTGTTCGTGCCTCTCCTGCACGAACGCGAGGGAAGCCCCAGTGTACTCAGTTTCACGAACGGACTGGGTTCATATAATAACCCAGTCCGTTTGCGGCTTCTCCCTCAGCAGGCGTTCGGCAAATTAAACAACTCACTAACAGAGCCGTTCTGGAATTTTTTACCGAACGCCTTAATGGTTTTCTAAGCCGTTTCCTTCGTGGGCTTTTTTCTTCCTGTTCATCACGGCGGCCATTTTGTTGGTGCTACTGTGGGAGTTCAACTCACAGCACTGCAAGACTCATACAGAGGCCTTCTGACAGCTGGAAGTGATTACAGATTTGGAGTGTACAAGGTGGGTGTTATTACCCTAGGGAGTGGGCAGACAGTTAGGTTTTACCCAGTAACCTGGCTAGGGGTGAGCCCCCATTTGGCAACGATCCTTCAGTGCTGCCTAACGGAAACTGTTCAAGCAGTTCCGACCGACTGAGTGAGCCCCAGTGTTACAGAGTCCGCTTGTCGCACGCCACTGGCGACAATATATACGGCCACCGGCCTGTCATAAGCCCCTCCCACACGAATCCAAATCCCACATATATATATATATATATATAAATAAAATATACATATACACAATCCTGTGCCTGTCAGTGCCCTGACTATGGAGGATAATCAGAACTCAAACGACCTCCAAGCCATGATTTATGCGGGAGTGGCCGCTTCCTTGGAAAAGGCAATGGCAAAAGTACTAACACCGGCTGCTGAAACTAACAAGCCGGTTAGTAGACAACCTCGTGATAAAGAAGACTCAGATGAGTCGGATGACTCCTCTCAGGAGAAGCACCGCCCGGCTAAACGCCACTGGAAGGGCGAGGTATCAAAAAAGGCCACTAATAAAGGCAAGGCGCCTCTGAAGCGCAATAAACGCCCTATGGCACCAAAACCCACATACACCAAGGAAATCTCCTCGGATGAGGAAAAAGACATGCCACATTCCCTCTCCATCCTAGATGAATGGCAGGCGGAAATCTCCGACTCGGACAAAGGCGATTGGGGATCCAATGCCTACGTCACGGAGACCTTCCTGGGAGAGCCCCAGGGTAAAGGAGACGAAGAAGCCTCAACCATCACGCAGGACCAAGAAGTATTCCTGGACACCACGGGGCACAAAATGTTCGACCCCAGAAATATCCGGGCACCTCCTCAGGTTTCTGCATTTCTGGTTCCGCAAGCACCTAGAGAAACACTTACGCAAGCGGATGAGAGCGGAATACCCAAGACCATCATTACCCGATAAGGTAGCCTTCACACTGGAATTTGACCAACTTATGCTAACATTCATGGAGGAGGGAGGTCGGGACCCCCACAGAGGGATAGAGAGGAGTCTAAAAGGCGCACAAGACAAGCTCCTAGCCACGATGGGGCCATTGGCCCGTTTAATGTATTTGGCGGACAATGCCTACGCCAGGGTGGACTCTTTTAATGCAGACATGATAAGAGAATGGGCACATGACATCCAAGAATGGACCCAGAGAGGCTTCTGTTTTCTCGGGAACACCAATGCGGCCCTCTCCACAGAGACCCCAAACTAGCGGATCTGGGGGTAAAAGAATTGGGCCCACAGGCACAGGGCAAGCTCTTCAGGGAGGCCTTCCTCAAAGAGCTCAATAAACATGTCAATGTCTTCACCTCACTAAACAGAGCCCGTTTATCCATGCGCAAGGTTTTCTGAGGCAACCTCGCAAGGGGTGTTTTTCCCAGGGCTGGTCGGCAACGGGGCCATGCCACCAGCCGATTCTGGCCATCGGGCCCCCCGCACGGGACACCCACAACAATTTTACCCGCAACAGGGTTACCAAGACGCAGGCTTTCGACAACGCTACCCCTACTATCAGAGGGTCACAGACAGAGGACGTGGATTTCGCAGACGAGCATGTGCAAGATTCCCCTCAGGTAAGAAAACAACCCTTAACTATGTCCCAACTAACCATGTCTGCAGGCTGTTTTTCTATCCACAGACGCCTGGGCTCTACAGACGGTCAAAGGGTATCGCATCGAATTACGTACAACCCCGGTACAGAAATTTCCTCCACATCCGCTATATCTCTCAACCTCAGACATGCACCTCATAGAAATGGAGCTCCGCGAATTACACGCGAAGGGTGCTATAGGGCCCGTTCAGGGACGGGGAGGCTTCTTCAACAATATATTCCTCGTCCGCAAGAAAACCGGAGATTTCAGACCGGTTATCAATCTAAGAGAATTGAAAGCCCACGTGACCTACCGTCACTTCAAAATGGAGGGCATACATTTACTAAGGGACCTCCTTCAAAATAGGAACTGGTTTACACGTCTGGATCTCAAAGACGCATATCTATCAATCCCAATTCATGAGGACAGCCGCCCTCTCCTCCGATTCCTATGGAACGGCACTCCCTGGCAATTCACTTGCCTCTCTTCTGGACTGAGCTCGGCACCGTGGTGCTTTACAAAGATGTTAAAACCAGTAGTCTCTCACCTCGGGACTCGTGGGATCAGGTGCATTATTTACCTAGATGAGATACTCTTGTTCTGCAGGACAAGGGAAGTGGCAATACAACATACAGAGTACACAGTAAAATTGTTAGAATCCCTGGGCTTCATAGTCAACAGGGCCAAATCCGCAATGACACCTGCGCAGAACATCCAATTCCTGGGCTTCGAGATAGACTCCAGGTCTTGCACTCTTCATCTCCCGTCTACCAAATTGATGGCTATCAAGAAGGAAATCCGCAGAGTACTCAAATGGGATTCCATCCCTCTCCGACAACTAGCACGGATTGTTGGCCTACTGTCCTCTTCGATACAAGCCATATTCCCAGGCCCTCTACACTACTGGGCCATGCAACAATTGAAAATCCGCTTCCTACGAAGAAACCCTACGTACAACCATCCAATCCCGCTAACGAACGAGGTACGCCAAGAACTCGAATGGTGGCTCAATTGCATGCAAGCTTGGAACGGCCGAGCCATCTTCGGCACCCACCTGGACTTCGTGCTGGAATCGGATGCCAGCTGATTGGAATGGGGTGCCACGGATGGGGAAGCATCCACAGGAGGAACATGGACAACCCAAGAACTCTCAATGCACATCAACTGTCTGGAACTGCTAGCGGGGTCATTCGCTATACGCAGTCTGGCAAAAAGACAATCCAATTGTTGTATAGTGATGTCCCGAACGGTTCGCCGGCGAATAGTTCCTGGCGAACATAGCGTGTTCACGTTCACCACGGACGGCGAACATATGCGATGTTCAGTCCGCCCCCTATTAATTTACTAATACTAAGTAAAAATTACTTAGTATTAGTAAATTGTGCCCCTACTCTCAATACCGCGAGTAGGGGCATGTCTATTAAACAGTGAGCAGCCTACTGTCCCCCCCGGCCCCCACCCCTGCGCGGCGGGTGGGGGCCATATTGATAATGAGGGGGGGACCTTTTGGGGCTGAAAAATGAAGATTTGAGAAAAAAGAAGACGTCTAATGGTAAGTTTACTTTTATTTTACAGGTTAGTTATTTGTGTGAGGGGTGTAGGTAGGGACTTTTTATTTGGGGGGGTGGGTGACTAGGGGCTTGGGGACCCCTAGTCACCTTGGGGGGGGAATTTACTTAGGGCCCCCACCCGCAGGTGGGGGCCGGAGGGGGGGGTGGACAGTAGGTCCCCCCCTCATTATCAATATGGCCCCCACCCACCGCGCAGGGGTGGGGGCCGGGGGGGCAGTAGGTCCCCTCCCTCATTATAAATATGGCCCCCACCTGCCCACAGGGGTGGGTGCCGGGGGGGCAGTAGGACCCCCCCTTATTATTATTAGGGCCCCCACCCACCGCTTAGGGGTGGGGGCCGGGGGGGACAATAGGCCCTCCCCTTATTATTAGGGCCCCCACCCACCACTCAGGCGTGGGGGCCGGGGGGGGGAGACAATAGGTCCCCCCCTTATTGTTAATTTTAGGGCCCCCACCCACCGCTCAGGGGTGGGGGCTGGGGGGGACAATAGGTCCCCCCCTTATTGTTATTAGGGCCCCCACCCACCGCTCAGGGGTGGGGGCCGGGGGGGAAAATAGGTCCCCCCTTATTATTATTAGGGCCCCCAACCACCACTCAGGCATGGGGGCCGGGGGGGTTGGACAGTAGGTCCCCCCCTCATTATCAATATGGCCCCCACCCACCACGCAGGGGTGGGAGCCAGGGGGGCAGTAGGTCCCCCCTCATTATCAATATGGCCCCCACCCACCGCTCAGGGGTCCCCCCCTTATTATTATTAGGGCCCCCACCCACCGCTTAGGGGTGGGGGCTGGGGGTGACAATAGGTCCTCCCCTTATTATTATTAGGGCCCCCACCCACCACTCAGGCGTGGGGGCTGGGGGGGGACAATAGGTCCTCCCCTTATTATTATTAGGGCCCCCACCCACCACTCAGGCGTGGGGGCTGGGGGGGACAATAGGTCCCCCCTTATTGTTAATTTTAGGGCCCCCACCCACCGCTCAGGGGTGGGGGCTGGGGGGGACAATAGGTCCCCCCCTTTTTGTTATTAGGGCCCCCACCCACCGCTCAGGGGTGTGGGCCGGGGGGGACAATAGGTCCCCCCTTATTATTAGGGCCCCCACCCACCGCTCAGGGGTGGGGGCCGCGGGGGACAATAGGTACCCCCCTTATTGTTATTAGGGCCCCACCCACTGCTCAGGGGTGGGGGCCGGGGGGGACAGTAGGTCCCCCCTCATTATCTTTATGGCCCCCACCCGCCACCCAGGGGTGGGGGCCAGGGGGGTAGGAGAGTAGGTCTCCTTCCCCCCCCCCCTTCAACCAGATAGAGTCCCTGTGTGTTTTAAAATTTGCCTGCCCATTGAAGTCTATGGCGGTTCGCGACATCACTATTGTTGTATACTTCTTCAGATGGACAACATCAGCAGTGTGATACATCAACCACCTTGGTGGTGCACGCTCCCAAACACTAGTGGATCTAACGAAGGAAATCTTCTATTACTGTCTCCCACGCAACATTACGATACAAGCATAATACCTACCAGGGGAGTCGAATCTTACAGCAGATTGGTACTCCCGACACTGGAGAGACGTCAGCAATTGGCAACTGGACCCACAGATATTTGCCCTCCTGAACGAACAGACGGGGCCCTTCATACTGGACCTATTTGTCTCACGCAAAAATCCCAGACCCGGAATGCCTAGCAGTCGACGCTTTCACCCAACAATGGCCACCACGAGGAGCTTATGCCTTTCCCCCATTTGCCATGATCACGAGGGTTCTCCATCATGTTCGGCGACGGGTAGTGAGATTAACTCTCCTGACACCCAACTGGCCGAGCCAACCCCGGTTCCCGGATCTGCTCGAACTGGCTTGGCAGGACCCGATTCTACTACCGAACGATTACAACCTACTCAGAAACCCAATGGGGAAGCCACACCTGATGCTCCTAGACAGACGACTCTCCCTGATAGCCTGGAATCTTTCAGGGGAGCATGGTGTACCGGAAACCTATCGACAGCCACTAAGAACTCCTGGGCTCCTGGAACATGAAAGAGTTACTTATCAGCATGGCAATCTTGGACCGGTTGGTGCATGGGATGGAACCTGGATCCCTTTACAGTCCCTGTGTTCGATATCATGAATTTCCGATCGAAGATATTCGAGGAAGGAAAATCGTATCGCACCATCAACGTGGTCAGATCCGCCATCTCAGCAGCCCACATACTGTCCCAAGGAAGACCGGTAGGACATGATCCCCTGATCTGTCGACTGTTATGGGGCATCAAACTGAGACGATCCCCAGCAGCATCAGCCGCTTTTTTGGCAGGCGCATCTTTATTAGACATCCTGCAAACTGCCGACTGGTCACGTGAATCGACGTTTCGGACATTCTATTTCCTTCCGTCATCCAACATCGCATTCGCCCTTCTACCTAAGCATTAAAAATGCTAAATATGAATCCTCCTGTCATGTGGTAAAATTGAAGATTATGCTAGCACAGTGTACTAATAATCTTAATTTTAATAATGACAGGAGGCGAATATTTTCCCTCCCTTCATCTTGACGTTCCCACCCTAGTAAGGTAAGTAGATTTTAAGGGGGGCAAACTTGATTCTAGTATATATATCTATATCGTGAGATGTTTTATGGTACTCAATACTTCTGTTTTCATCGCAAAATGAAGTGGATTAGCATAAGACATTCTGGATAACCGAGTTAATCAGTTAAAATTGTCAACATTCACATAAACATTCATTTCATATGGTCTGTTCCGTATCACTGATACTAGTCTCCTTTCAGCTTAACAACACTATGCATATATCGAAATCAGTTAACAAGTGTTATGTTTAATGAAGAAGACTGGATTTGATAATGAAGTTTCCACATTGGACTAGTTGATTCAAGTTGATTCGGGACACAGTTTGTCATACTATGAACTTGTGATGTTGCATTAGTCACGAGGAAATGATTGGCTAGGCTGGGACTTATATACTCTCTGACTCACTCTGATTGGTTCTTTGTTTAAACTTCTATGGAGTTAGTAAAGAAAGTTAATGCAAAATATTAGCCTCCTGTCATTATTAAAATTAAGATTATTAGTACACTGCGCTAGCATAATCTTCAATTTGATGAGCTCAGCCAATTCAATGATTTCCCTCAGTAAAGCATTGGTAAGCTACTGTGCATGTGCAGCAAAACACCACACTGTGCCAATTAGCATCTCCTCGTAGACATACATTGAGTCAATGTATCCCTATAGGGAACATTCATTGTACAGCACTGATCTGGGGAACACCACTAGTGGCCGTCTGAGTGACTGCCACTAGGGTGTTCCTAGGTGGTACCGTAAACACTTTATTTTCTAATAATAGGCAGTGTTTACATAAAAAATTCAAAAAATGTGTAATATAACCAGCGGTATTACCTAGTGCCGCTGTTCACACTGTGGAACCAATCACATACAATTCCACCTGAAATAAAATCAAAAAACAAAATAGAAACAAATAGTGTGTAGCACAATGACATATATGATCATGTTTAAATATTCACTCTGTCCCAATAGTATAATTATAGTTGAAATTATGAGACAAATAAAATAACTAATAAATTCCTAGAGGGAATACTAAATATAGATTATCCCTAAAACGTAAGCAAGAAGGTACACGTTCATAGGGTAGTACAGTTATAAGTAAAGGAATTATCCATAATAAAATCTTCAGGTAATTAATTAACATTTATTTGAGCCTGTTTAAAAACTGGCTCTGGTGATATAGCTCCATATATCAAGGATATCCTCATTCAAGAATATCAGGAATAATAGGTCCTGACAACATAGATAGATGAAGGGCACCAGCTTTCAACTTTCAATAAAATGGTATTTATTACACAAAATAAACATTTTAAAAACACTTTTACATACAAAAGTGCCTCTATCCCAGAATTCATAAATCCAAAACAGCAAAACATGTTTCAATGCTTTATCCAGCGTCTTCCTCAGGTGCATGACTTCTGTCTGTATAATTTTGCTATTTAAATCATTTAAATCAAAAAACCTACAGGGACTGGCTGGGGACACCAGAAGCACTATATTACGCTGTATTTGTTCTGCTGACTATAGTGTCCCTTTAATACTTAATATTTGGTCTTCGAAGGGCCTTGAATCTTATTTTGCTGGGGGGGAGGGCGGGCAGACTAGCTCTGACTCCGTGTATGTATGTGGTAGAAGGTGTTTGTGAGATTTTGTGTGTGCGTAAATGTAGCTGCAAGTTGGATTCTGCTTGTGGATTTGCGTGCCTCGGTTTGCAAACGGAGGAGTTGCATGTGGGGAGAGGCTGTGTGGAGTTGTGTGTGGAGAGGACTGTTAGTAGTGTAGGGATAGAGCTGTAATTAGAGGATAAGGCCTATAATGGGGGGATAAAGCTATGATTGGGGGGATAGGGGCTGGACAGGGGCTCTGTTGTGTTGATGGGGGCTGTATTGAGGTGTAGTGGCAGTATTGGGGGATAGGAACTGTAGAGGGGCTGTGCTGGGGGATAATGGCTATGATGGTGAATAGAGTCAGTGATATGGTATTAGGGCTGTGATAAAGGGGATATGTTGAGTATAGGGTTAGTGGGGGAATAGGAGCTGTGATATGGGATAGGGTCTGTGATAGTTATAGTGTTTGGGGGAGATAAGGACTGTAGTGTATGAGATTTTATTTATTTTTTTTGTCAACAAATAATCACTTTTGCAAACCTTCAGCAGCAAACAACATTTCCTATATTGAACTTATTTAGATTTTTCGACTTCATAGCTTCCTTGACACAACTGTCACCACTAGCTTCCCCACTTTTGGAAAAGCTTGTTTTCAACCTCCCAGAACAACAGGGTCAGATTTAAATTCTTTATCTTTTTCTAGTATCTAACCATCCCTCAGATATGTGTCAACTTGAGAGATTTGCTTGGATACTCAGGGAGACCCATTTGATTGGGCAAACGTAAAACAAGCCTAAGCTCTATTACTATGGAACCTAACCGCACTAGATTGTTCTACATGGGCCACATTGACTCTTAATTATGCTGGAAATAATGTATTCAATGAGGCACATATGTCCACTTGTGGTGGAATTGCCTTTGCATTTCTACTCTATGACATAAAACTCCCAATTGGTATCTAGACTTCATTTAAATCGACATTCATTAAACCTTTGGATTTGGTTATTCACTAAACCAATTAAAGAGTACACTAGGATCAAAAATAAACTAGTCTAAAAGGTAACACTGTCCACCAGACAAGCAACTGCTGAATGTTATGGGGTACTTACTAGTCCCACTTTAGCTATAGTAATATGTAAAACAATGAATGCATTGGCGGATAGGAACACAGAGTTAGTTTATCTCCTCAAACTTCATCTTTTTTACAAAGAACCCCATTGCTTTTTTTCTTCTCCACTGGGACCCCTTTGCATTGTTTTCCATCTTTTGTTAATTTTCTTCTTTTTTTTATTACAGTTGTGAATTGCATTAAGTTAATTGTTCATCTTCCTTGATTTCCATGATTTACACTATATTTACAGATATTGCACCAATTGATTACTAATCATATCGTAGTACACTCAAAGAACTCTTTGGTCCATAGGTTGGTGTAAAACTCTTTTTATTTTTTGTTTGGTAAATCCTCTTGATATAGAGAAAGAGGTTTGTTTTTCTTTCTACCTCTGGCATGTGCATTGAAAGCGTCATGTTTGCCTTATGAGCCATTTTTCTTCAGTGATTGTGTTTTGTTTTTTAATATTCTATATTTGTACTTCTACTGTTATTTTTTATTTTGTAGGCATTGTTTCTGCCCCTGCCTTATTGTTTTATGACATTTCTTATGGCTACAAATCAATAAACACAGAATGTAAAAAAAGAAAAGAAATACATTTTTATAACATAGATAGAAAATAGCCAGACAACAGGGAAATACACAGACAAGCACGATTAGAATTTACATGAGTAGTTTTTTCCCATTACCTTTATGTCAATTCTTCTACTTCAATGTAATTTCAACCACAAGTACAATTCTTCAAATATAAATGCTAATTATTAAAAAGTATAGTTTTTCAATATTTTAAACAAGTGCTTTGCAGTGCATACTTTCAACAGTAGATAAAACGAAAATGAGAACAGGAGTCATTTTAACATTGTGTGAAACACAAATGTTGCAAAGGGCAAATCAATAAATTAAAATAGCCTATGAAACTTTTAACGAAATCCATGAATTCTTCTTCCATAAACATTATTAATAGCCTCGGTGATTACTGAAACTCTAATTAGAGCAGAATTCCATCAGTTACAGTAAGGGGTGACTTATCTACTCTTTTATCATGATTTGCATAGTAATGCTGGAAAGTTTACTGAAAGTAACAAAACTAATTTAAAGTATTGATAAAGTGATACAGTGTACAGGTGCAGTGTGATGATGATAACATTACTTGGTTACAGCTGAAATTGCTGATACCCTCTAAAGTGGAGAAGGAAGTTAACATGGTGAAGAGGAGAGACATAATGCATAAGTAAAATTGCGTGCTTAAATTTGTACAAAAAATATAATAGGCATGAAAGCACTTGTACTAAGAAAAAAAGACACAGAGAAACTGTTGACGCCTAAATAAAGAGTTGATGTAATGAATTAGTTTGTTTTGTCATTACCGTTGGGGTTGTTTTGCCTCTTATGACAGATAGGTGGATACTAGCAGTCGTGATTAGCCCTACATCTAGCTTTTACTGAAAACTAATTAAGCAGTTTTTGTTTTTACAGTTGTAATGTGCATTATAATATAAGCACATTTATTCAGTCCCCAGTGGCCTATTCATCTGTCTGCTGCAAAAGAAACCAAAAAAAAACTGCACAATCTTAACCTATTTGCCCCAAATACCAAGCATACACTGGTGCTAAACATATGTCTTGCTATCATTCTGTACATGTAATTAATATTAATATCATGTCAAAGACAAAATATAATGAGCCTCTGCAAAATATGCACATATACTTTCTATACTAAAAGAAAATGAACATTTAAAGGACCACTAAAGGCACCCAGACCACTTCAGCTCAATGAAGTGGTCTGGGTGCCAGGTCCATCTAGGATTAACCCTGCCTGCTGTAAACATAGCAGTTTCAGAGAAACTGCTATGTTTACAAATGGGTTAATCCAGCCTCTAGTGGCTCATTGGCAGCCACTAGAGGTGCTTCCATGCTTCTCACTGTGATTTTCACAGTGAGAAGATGCCAGCGTCCATAGGAAAGCATTCAGAATGTGTGCGTGGCTCTTGCCGTGCATGTGCATTCAGCCGATGACGTCCAAAGGAGGAGGAGAGACCCCAGCGCTGAGGGAGCCTGGCGCTGGAGAAAGGTAAGTGTTTAACCCACTTCCTCCCCCTTCAGCCCGGTGGGAGTGGGACCCTGAGGGTGGGAACACCTTCAGGGCACTATAGTGCCAGGAAAATGAGTTTGTTTTCCTGGCACTATAGTGGTCCTTTAAGTTCCTGCTGCTAGAAGAATCAGAAGTTCAATCCCTTCTCTTCCATTATAGGCATACAGAGGTGACACTAGTACACTACTATATCCAAACTCTTACATTCATACATTTGCATACTTTTAAGGGAAGGAAACCAAGTAAAGTGGTTAAAGTGGGTTTTTAAAGGAACCTTATAGTCAGGGGTAGCCCAAGGCATTGTGCTGCCTGGGCCAAAGGATGAAATGCTGCCTCCCCTCTTCCCTCCCCCGCCCCCAACAAAACCACACCAACCAAAACATGCCCATATCCATTATGTTATGCAGTGTGTGTAGTGAATGCAGTGTCTGTGTAGTTGATGCAGTGTGTGTATTTGTGTATTGCATGCAGTGTGTGCAGTGGCTGCATTGTGTGTGTGTGTGTGTGTGTATAGTGGATGAAGCATGTGTGTATTTTGTAATGGATGCAGTGTGTGGATAGTGGATACAGAGCATTTGTGTATAGTGGATGCAGATCATGTGTGTATAGTGGACAAAGTTTGTGTGTGTAGTTGAATGCAGAGTGCATATATATAGTGGATGCAGAGTTTGTGTATAGTGGACAAAGTTTGTGTGTGTAGTGGATGCAGAGTGCGTGTATAGTGGATGCAATGTGTGTGTATAGTGGATGCAATGTGTGTGTAGTGGATGCAGTGTGTGTGCAGTGGATGCAGTGTGTGTGCAGTGGATGCAGTGTATGTGTAGTGGATGGAGAGTTTGTGTGTGTATAGTTGATGGAGAGTTTGTGTGTGTGTGTGTATAGTAAATGCAGTATGTGTGTATAGAGGATGCAGTGTGTGTATAGTGGATGCAGTGTGTGTGTGTGTAGCTGATGCAATGTGTGTGTATAGTGGATGCAGTGTGTGTTTGTGATGATAAATTAAATGTGGGGGTGAGCAGTTTTCTTTTCTTTTCTTTTTTTTTTACTTATTCCCCCCCACCCCCCTCTCTGCCTCTTACCTGTGGCCAGGGAGGTGGGATACATAATTCCTTGGTGGTCCAGTGGAGCTGGATTACAGTGAAAAGGGGGCCCTAAGAGTAATCTGTGGGTTGCCATAGCAATGCTCCGGAATGGCAATGCTCTTGCAGCTTGCGAGACAAAAGTACCTGCAGCTCCGCTGTACACACCAGCAGGGGCTTGGAACTGCATATATATATATATATAGGTACTCAACATAAATGCACATAGGTGGCCCAGGCCATGCACTACAAATTTCTTAAAGGCACAGAGGCAGCAAAATGCCGCTCCTGTCACAGTACCGCCTGGAGCCATGGCCCCACAGGGGCCAATGGACAGGCCGGCCCTGCCTATAGTGTTAGGAATTTTTCTAACATTATAGTTTTAATTTAACATTAGTAGACTCCTACCCACCATGTGAGGGCTTATTTACCTTTACTTTACTTACCCATCAGCTCTCACTGCTTTGGTCTCTGCCCTGGTGGCATGCCTTCTTGGCTGAGATCATGGGAGACTATTGTGCATGCTTGACAAAACACCATGCAAACTCAGCTATTTTGAAGGAAGCACCTCTAGTGGCTGTCAGAGTGACAAGCACTAAAAGAATTTAAACTCTGCAATGTAAACATTGCTGTGCATGCAGAACGGCCTTGTTTTCACTTGCAGGGCAAAAGAGAGAGGATAATTGAAAGATTTGTATTTGAAATGAACAGAACAGGGAAAAAATATAAAAAAGATGCAAGGGGTTGGATCATGAAAACATTGGAGATGAGAATGTGGGGTAGTAGGAGTATAGAAATCTTCTCATTTGTAACAAGTGGAAGTGAGCTTATGATTGGAAGTAGGAAAGTAGATTGATGTACAGGGATTGAAGTATTGTGATTTCTTGTCTTGTTTCACAAATTCACCAAATTGGACAGAATCACATGATGAAGCAATTCTACCATGCAATATGGTAATTCATTGATTCAGCATAGCCAATAGTTAATTGTGAATAATACTGTGTTAGAAGCTTCTGGTGCCCTGGCTCATTGAGGGGCCACCCCCTCCCAACAGAGTATGAACTCTGGGGATCGCCTGAACCAATTCTCACACTGAGCGCCTGACTAGGAGATACACTGAATTGCTATACCAATCCTGTTTATTGTAGATTGGGTGTGACTCAGTCCCCTGAGCACAAATCATGGCACTATTTGGAGGTGACATTGGGAGGTGATGCGGCATCTGGGGATACCTAGAACTTGTCTAACTTTAAAGTGCTGAGGCTTGGGCTGGGTACCTTTGATCCAGGTGCCATTTGGACTGTACATATCTGAGGTATGAGCTATTTGGGAATATATAATGTTTGAGGATTAAATATTGGGAACGTGAATTTATGGGGCTCATATTCATTGGTTTCACTGCCTGGAAAGGACACAGCGGGAGGGGGGGGGGATCATAAACAATTCTGAATTGACCTAATTAATTTAGCAACAGAGTGGCACTAGGGAGGGAACTGTATTGTATGAATCATTACTTCTGGTTCAATACACATGGGCTGTGTATACATATGTGTGAGTTGGTTTAATATGTACACTCACTCAAGTCTCAGCTGATATTTGTGTGAGCTGATGTAATCACTGAATGTGTTCTTCTGGAAAAGGAGGGAGATTGGTGGAGATACTCATGCTGAGTATCAAGCCCAGTCACAGATAAAAATTCAAATAACAACCAAATTAACCCCTTAAGGATGGCGGGCATTCTATGCCGTCCTTTTAGGGGAGGCTCTAAACGTCGGCGGGCAGCCTAGAACGTCCCCGCCATCCTTATTACTTACCTAATCACTGGTGGGGGAACGACTGTTGCTCCCGGTCTGGGGGGACTGCCTGACAGTCCAGACAGTCCCCCCTCTGCAAATTAGGCCCCCCGCGGGCCATGTGCTGCAATTGGTGTCTGTGTATCTGCCTGCAGGGAGACTGCCTAAATGGACATTATGTCATTCTAAGTGTATTTTTAATTAATATATATACTTATATTCATATATAAAAATACACTTAGAATAAAATTACACACACACATATATATATATATATATATAAAACAACTATATATATATATATATATATATATATATTTATAAAAAATAAATAATAATTAATTAAAAACAAATTAATTAATTACAATAATTTAATTGTTTTTATTGTATTTTGATATGAATATATATATATATATATATAATCATATCATATAAAGTACACTTAGAATGAAATTATATATATATATATATATATATATGTATTAAGGCAGTTTTGCCTGTATTTGTGGGAGGGGCTTAAATTAATTCACTCCCCTATATAAGGGACACCCCTTACCTGACTCATATCGCTTGAGGTCAGCATCAGAATGATTTCCACTTCCGGGTCATCCAGACGCCATTTTACCTGATTACTCCATGAGGTTTTCTAAGCAGAGCTGTGTCAGGAATCCAGCCACAGGCTTTTCCGGCCTACCACCTTCTTTCTTCAATCCATCGCCGTGGATGGTGTCCAAGTGACTCACAAACAGTAAGTCGACCTACCCGTTACACCAGGCATCAGTCCCATGCACGGGTCAGGTCCTCACTTTACGGCTGCATTTTGTCTATGTCTGTTCTAAAACCATTGCATGTTCATGCATATCATTCGTTTAAACCCCCTACCGGTCTTTGGGTGTACTACAGGCTTCTTAGACATTATTGCATTTCATGTACAAACCAACGAACCACTGCATTTTCGCCTACACACTGACCCCTACCGGTCTTTGGGTGTACTACAGGCTTCTTAGACATTATTGCATTTCATGTACAAACCAACGAACCACTGCATTTTCGCCTACACACTGACCCCTACCGGTCATTCGGTGTACTACCGGCTTCTCAGGCATTTTTGCATTTCATGTAAAAAAACAACCAAACACCGCATTTTCACCTTCACACTGACCCCTATCGGTCATTCGGTGTACTACAGGCATCTTAGACGTTTTTTGCATTTTCATGTACAAACCAATAAACCACCTCATTTTCACCTACACACTGACCCCTACCGGTTTTTGGTGTACTACAGGCTTCTTAGACATTATCGCATTTCATGTACAAATAAACGAATCACTGCATTTGCACCTACACACTGACCCCTACTGGTCATTTGGTGTACTACAGGCTTCTTATTGCATTTCATGTACAAATCAACGAATCACTGCATTTGCACCTACACACTGACCCCTACTGGTCATTTGGTGTACTACAGGCTTCTTATTGCATTTCATGTACAAATCAACGAACCACTGCATTTGCGCCTACACACTGACCCCTACCGGTCATTCGGTGTACTACGGGCTTCTCAGACATTATTGCATTTCATGTATAAACCAACATACCACTGCAATTTTCACCTACACACTGACCCCTATCAGTCATTCGGTGTACTACAGGCTTCTTAGACGTTTTTTGCTTTTCATGTACAAAACCATAAACGACTGCATTTTCACCTACACACTGACCCTTACCAGTCATTCAGTGTACTACAGGCTTCTCAGACATTATTGCATTTCATGTACAAACCAACGAACCACTGCATTTGCGCCTACACACTGACCCCTACAGGTCATTCAGTGTACTACAGGCTTCTCAGACATTATTGCATTTCATGTACAAACCAACTAACCACGGCATTTACGTCTACATGCTGACCCCTACCGGTCAATCAGTATACTACAGGCTTCTCAGATTTTATTCCACTTCATAAGCAAACAAACGAACTACTGCATTTTCGCTTTTATACTGACTCCTATCTGTCAAATGGTAGCATTAACCCCTTAAGGACACATGACATGTGTGACGTGTAATGATCCCCTTTTATTCCAGAAGTTTGGTCCTTAAGGGGTTAAAGGATATTTTAACATACAATCAGCATTTCTGACCCCTACTGGTCAACAGCAAAACTGCCTTCACATGTCATATACAATTTACCAGCCAATATAAATTACACATAAGATTGTTTTAAACATAACTATAGACCATAAATTAAACTCCAGCACGGGCTCAACTTCAGGTTTAATTCACAATAATTTACATTTCACATCAAGACCAACAGTGGTTCTATCAACACTGCCACCTACAGGTCTGTCAAGTACATTGACAATTTTCATGGGGTTTTACAAACACCAAAACACTGACACCTATAGGTCAACAGACAAACAACATTTCACATACCAATCAGTATCCAACTACACTGCCACCTATAGGGCACTCGGCAGATCTCCAGTGCACTTGCATTTTGCAACACCATGTTCACTGACCCCTACCATTCAATAAGACATACAACAATTCACATAGCAAGCACTATGTCAACATCTGGTATAAATACATATATTATTACACAGTAGCAGACGCATCTGTATATATGTAACTGGTAATATAGTTCACATACATTTTTCACAGCACGCTGCTCCCGCAACAGACTTCCCCTAGCAAGGGGACATACAACATACAAGGTGGGGACAGACCACATTTTCACTTGTACATACGGCACTTAATGGGTTAAGATTGATACATATTTAACCAGTATGGCTACGATGTTTAATATTTACACATCACATCACTTTACTTTTCACATATACTGTACGTATTAAGATAAGCTTGGTCTATGCCATATTTCCTTATGCCATACGGTTTTATCCATTCAGGTTACAGTTACTACTAAAAAACCTATACGGATTGTCAGGTTCAATACCATACTACCAGGTACATACACCTGCTCACGTAGTTATCCATCTCTTACCTTCCCTGGAATAGTAATAGTGTACTGGCAATTAGGGTTCTAGGGCCCAATAGGTATTACCCCCTTTTTTTCTCTGCATTATGCTTCGGTTAGTGGTCCCGCGAGGCCAACACCCCGCCTCACACTCGGAGGCATACACCCCTCGGGCCACTCGTGAGCTAGTCGCCTCGCATTGTATCATAGAGAGGACCTCACCTGTCACTCCCCTTCCTATTTTCTGGTTACTGTCACCGAGAGGCCAACATCCTGCCACAACGTTCGGTGGCCACACAAAATCCCCTCGCGCCAAGCATAGATAGAGCCTCTCAAGCCACTTGGCAACTAGCAGGGCCTCACCAGTCACCAAAAAACACAAGTCTAATCGTTTCGCCTTACGGCTTAGCTAGCAAGCCAGTACAAGAACCCTGGGTACAAATAATAATTGCAATCTTTATTGTTATTTAAGTATTTCTCAAAAAGATGGTGAAGAATCACCTCTTCCTAGCACCCCGGCTAGAATTGATACACCTTCAAGCAGAGGAGATGTTGCTAGTCCAGCAGCAATCAGATCCTGGACGATCCCACACATTACCACCGACCTAAGGAGGTGACAAATCCCCTACCCTGCTACAGCAAGGAAAGCAGTTATTCAAACTCCTCCATACATCAATGGACAACACGGAGGCAGGGGAAGGCCCAGCTACATCAACTCAGGTGACACCCAGGCTATGCTAGCTTCACTCATAAACTCATGAGCCAAAAAATTTATGACAGACTGGCAATCTCGAGTTGGTCACCACAGCCCTCACAAGGCTGGGCCTCACGCTACTGTACAACCAGCACCAACCGAAACTCGGTTACCTGGTACAATCAATTCTTATGACACACAAGATGTTAAACCTGCACGTATGATCCCAGCACATTGGGGAAGCAAGGCATATATATGTATGATGATGTATCTGTGATGGTCAGATCCAGGGATTCCAGGTAAATCGGGAACTGACCATCCCTTGGTTGGGTTGGCATTTGGAATATGTGGAGATGTTTATTTGTGCAGGTACCCATACAGAAGGGATTTTGTCCCAAACAAATGGACGAGCACTCTCAGGCTCCAGGTACCAGCACCTCTGAACTACCAGAGACCACTGATATGAGTAGTTGCATTGCATACAGACTGTTGCATATATGTTCAAATAGTTCAGGGCACATGACAAACCATGTGTCCCAATACAACTTACAAATAACGTATTCACCATCTGTACACACCAATGCATTTTCAACACTACTGACTCATCACCCTTCCAGACTGGTAGTAGATTTACTAAAGCTCTGGAGCTTCAAAGGGCTCTCATACAGGTATCATAAACACACCTTCAAGGAATATAGCATGCACTCACTTACAGTCAGCACAACAAAACCATTGGCTGTAAACACACTCATAGCCAAGATTTGCAGAGGGGTCTTCCAATCTCCACCATTTACAGCATGGCACCAAACACACACATTGGTATTGTCACAAGGAATCTTCCCTTAAACAAAGACTAACCATGGACTTATTGGTAACACACACCTCCGCTACCCCAAGTCTCAACTCCCTCATACCCTCCGAGGATTTTTCTTACTATACAACACCATTGATCTACCTTTACAGCTATCACTCAAGCATGGGTTGAAGCTTGATTAAGTAAGACCAATATCATCAACGCAGTAAACGGCTAACATCTACCCTACACACTGGCACTTACATGGCATAAATTGGGCAATCCTTTCCCCGCTCAACTTTCGAGCTACAGATTAGCCTACTATCGATATTCGCAGATACTCTGTGCTGGTTATGATAACATATCCAGAGGCCTTACAGTCATACACTATCTAGAAGACTTCTTGTTAATCAAAGACAGCATATTTTTCACTAGAAGCCTCACGGCAGCTTAGTCTGGTTGACCACTTGGGCGTCCCAGTACCCCATAAGAAACAGAAGGCCCAGACACTATCTTCACATTACTGGGCATATGACTTGAGTCGGCATCCATACACGCAAGTTACCACAAGACAAATAGGGAACATTCTCAACTACATCAATCACTACCTCCTGCTTAGTACTTACAACTGAAAGGAACTACGATCCCTACCAGGTTCCTTAATTTTGCCATGCTTTCACATCCAGAGTACTTTCCCCTTTTTTCCACACTTCCAACATGACGATCAGAGGAGGTGCCTAGACACCTCAGCAACAGCAGACCTGCACATGGGGGGGGGATTTCTTAACCACTTGGCATGGTAAAAGCATGTTCCTTCCAGGATTGTCTGACACTTCTCCAACCAGATGGTCAGACGCAGCGTATACCACGGGTTTGGCAGCGATCTACCGGGAACAATTGCTTTGGGGCTGTTGGCCATGGCATCCAGGTTTGGAAATTTTTCCACCACTTCAGCCCCTTTGGGAGATCTACCCCATTGTAGCAGCTGCTGTGGCATGGGGTAAATCATGGTCAGGGTCATCAATCCGTTGTTACTCAGACAACTAAGCACATATCATATCATCAACAAACGCCACTACTCATCCATAAGTTCATGATGTTTCTGGGGAACTCACTTGGTTGGCCACTTATCACATTTCACTTTCATGTACCAGACGGGGGTATACATCCCTGCCGACAACTGTCTCATTTATTTTCCAGGCATGTTCATCATACGCTTCCTACAGCCACCCATACAGTCACGTCCACTCTTTCGTTCCAGAGACAAAATCATGGATTAGACATACTCATGCAGCATAGCATGCACTATCCCACCTAGCACTTTCGTCCCATACTTGTAGAACGCATAACACAGCTTTTCACCTGGCTTAAAGAATGTCATTGGAACACGACATAGCTCAACCTGTGTCACAAAATTTCTCCTAAGTTTTGCTTATTTTTGCCACCTTAAACTTAAACTATCTCATACACCATTAATTATATATTTTACAGGCATTCAACAACACATGATAACCTATGGCCAAAACTACCATAAACTTCATGCTATCATACCAGAAAAGAATATACTCAGAGGTTTTCAGGAATCCATTCCCCCACGTTCCTCTCAGAGATTACCAATAGCCATCCAACTGTTCATCCTTATCGGACCTATTAGATCTACAACCATTCAATTATACTACCAAGTCGGCCATTACCAGCCATGCACATTGCCTTTTATGCCTTTCTCAGGCCAGAGAATCCACTACCATCACCACCACTCAGACAGATCATTGTCTTCAACGATCCCACGTACGTAAACACATATATCATTACCTATTGGCTCTACCACATTCCGAAATGAGTCAACATGCACCAACAGTAGAGATAACATACTATCCTACCCACAACAAATGGTGCCTACTTTCGGTCCTAGATTCCTACCTTCAAAATCCTTTCAGGAATTAAATACTGTAATGCATTTAAGGAAATGTCTGGTTAATTTGTATATATTTGTTGACTGTATTAAATCTTTGATTATTCATTTTTGCCCTCTTTATTTACAGGCCTACCGTATCGTCGGTATCGGCACACCACAACCGACTTGCTCCCTTTACACTATCCTAAGCTTATGCTGGATCCTTACTCCATATACGGCTATTTTGCCCCTTACACAAGTATTAAGGTAGTTTTGCCTGTATTTGTGGGAGGGGCTTAAATTAATTCACTCCCCTATATAAGGGACACCCCTTACCTGACTCATATCGCTTGCGGTCAGCATCAGAATCACCCTCCCACCCACTCCTAATTTCAACACTTTCTCTTTTCTTTCCATTTACTTTACTTTCTTACTCCTTGGTGGGCCCTCTTTATTTACAGGCCTACCGTATCGTCGGTATCGGCACACCACAACCGACTTGCTCCCTTTACACTATCCTAAGCTTATGCTGGATCCTTACTCCATATACGGCTATTTTGCCCCTTACACAAATATATATATATATATATATATATAACTATGAATATATAAATACATTAAAATAATAAAAAATATAAATATACTCATACACATAATTACATAAATAACTTCAAATATATAAATATATATATATATATATATATATATATATATATATGAATTCCATGTGCATATTTATGTAATATTTTTACATAATTAAGTAATTTTATTGATTACATATTGAGGGACCTGCCTGGCAACCCTGACAGAATGTCCAGAAAATTTAATTTGCTAGCACTATATTTAACGCTGTAACTTTCCATGACACCCTAAAACCTGTACATGGGGGGTACTGTTTTACTCAGTATTATGACATTCACAGTTAAAATTAAATGCAGAACTAAAAAAGTTTTAATAAACTTAATTTCTCACACTTTTTATTTTATTCATAATGAATTATGTTTCATATATTATTAGTTAAGTTAAACGAATGCCCCTTTTCTCCTGAACAAATTGATATATAATAAGTGTCGGTGCACTAAGTATGAAAGAGGTGAAATATGGTTGAACAGATATATAGCATGAATTCCAGTTTTTGTTTACGTTTTGTTTTGATCACAAAGTGTACAACTGGCTCAGTCCTTAAGGGGTTAATGTCATTCAGTTCTGAATATAAATTGTCAGGCTGAACAAAGCAGCAGCAGCAACATGTCTAGCAGCAACCTTGAAATGGAGGAAACAGGCCAAGAAGCAAGTGAGAGAGGTAAAGGAAAAAGTTAACCAAGATCCTTAAAGGAGCACTATAAGGTTAAAACCACCATCTAGCCCCCTGTCCCCCTCATGCCTCCCTAAATATAGTAAAAGCTTACTTGTATTAAGGTCTACAGCTGCTTATTTTGTCCCTGTTGCCTTTAGACCTTCCTGCTGCCTGCTGACATCAGCAGAAGTAGTAGCCTGATCCAATAACAATGCTTCCCCATAGGATTGGCTGAGACTGACAAAGAGGCAGATCGGGGCAGAGCCAGAACAAGTCAAACACAGCCCTTGCCAATCAGCATCTCCTCATAGACATGAATTGAATCAATGAATCTCTATGAGGAAAGTTCAGTGTCTGCTTGCAGAGGGAGGAGACACTGAATGTTTGGATGCATTTTAGGCAGCTATGACCCAGGAAGGATCTCTAACAGCCATCTAAGGAGTGGCCAGTGAAGTTATCACTAGGCTGTAATGTAAACACTGAATTTTCTCTGAAAAGACAGTGTTTACAGCAAAATGCCTGAAGGAAATGATTCTACTCACCAAAACATATTCCATAAACTGTAGTTGTTCTGGTGACTATAGTGTCTCTTTAAAGTTCCAAGGAGTCAGGATAAAAGTTTTGCTAGAAAATATGGCCCAACATTTTGGCTCAAATGAGAATGTTGCACTGGTTACAAAGCTGTGCCAATACCAGGTATGCAAATAGGCACCTTCCTCCAAGCAACCCCTAAACTAGACTGAGAAATTTTAATGTGTAATTTTGGACAATCTAGAGGGTTGATCTAGGACTGTCCTGTTAAACTCCTCGATTAAATCAGCTAAATGAATTATAATAGCTATCAGTCCTATTTTTTATGTTGAAGTCTGCACATGGAATGGTATTCATAGAAAGTAGTCTGAGACCTTAAAAAGGAGTTAGCAATAAGAAGACACTAGGTAGCCCAGAAGAGTTCATAATCTAGTACATCTGGTTGGGGTAAATGCCACTTGCTCCAATTGCATCTATAATTTGTGGATAAAAGTCATTACACTCTTTGGAAATTACTAGCATAAAAGCTTCACGCATCATCTTGGAAGGCACTGGCTAGGCACTCTACCACAATAGCCACCTGCCACAGACTTAGTTAAAAGTCATATTAAAAAATATTATACTACCATATGGCTGTACCCACATGTAACCATTCATTATATAACCACCATTAAACAGATCAAAGCTGAGATGTACGGCCTGCACTCAATGTTTGCATAATTACCATTCACACAACTCAGGTTGGCCCCGAGTCAGGAAGCAGCAGGTAACTTGGCCAGCTTTCCCCGCTAAAATTCTCATTGAGCCATTAAAATGATGATTTTACACAAAATTCTGTATTTATTCCAGCCTCTACAGATTCTCTTAGTGTCCCATTACCTTAACAAATTTCAATTTGTCCTTTTAAAATGTAGCTGGAGTGATAGAAAAGCTAGAGCCCCAAGTTAATTATTAACTAGGTCAGTCGGAGAAGGAGGATTAGGATCTCCAAACATCATTTAATACATTTGTAACGGCACCCCGGGCATAAAAGGGTTAAACCGCCGTTTAGTAGATCTTCCCTTCCAGAGACACAGGCACAGCTACTGTAGACACCAATCCGGAACCATATGAATGTAGTAAACAGCCGAATAGGAAAAACCAATAGGTTTACACTCCTAGCAGTCAAACTGGAACAGCATAGAATAAATCCCCCCAAGAACGAGACAAGGCTCCGTTTTGAGGGTCAAGCAGGAACAGACAGAGCTGTGGGTTTATTGTTCTTATATACACATTAGTACCACCCACAGGGTTTTGGAAAACAACTAATAAACACATACAATACACTCAGACACTCCCACACAAGATCCTCCCCTCTGCCTGTGATACAATTATCTTACACAATTATCACCGGCAGAGAAATACAGTTTTTCCACATTATTCATAACTTTAAAAGTATGCATCACATTCACATTCCATTTTCAGAATCTGCATACTCCAAATACAAACATATGTCAAAATCATACAAATTGGTCCAGTGGTTCAAAAGATAGATCATAGTCCTTTGTGACCAAAGGAAGCATGGCTTTTCTGCCCAAAACCAGTTCCACTGAGTCTTCTATACTGGAGATAATTGGGAAGTAATCCAATTATCTCCAAGAACAGAGGCAAAACGCCATTAAGCACATGGCAGTAAAATACACAAGGTTACATTTATGACATAAAATACAGACATGCAACATATGCCCAGATAGCTTAGGTCTGAGCGCACATTAATACTGAATGGCGCTCAGACCACACACATACAGTTCAATTGCCATGGAGCCAAAGTCTTTCCCATAGTCTTTCATTATACGAATGGACTCCATGGCATAGCTATCTGGGGTATCACCGCTCAAACAGGGCAAGCACCAAATGACCCGGCTTTCGTGTCTTTGCAGGGGAAAATCAAGCGTTTCAACATGGGGCCATAGTCTAAAGGCAGCAGGTGGGCAACCAGGCTCCTCCAATGCACAGTGGCGAGATTGGTCTTGTCACAACATTACTTATTTTTTTAGCCATAGATTAAATGTTTTTACTATATTTGAAGGATAGTATGCTCTATATATACTCAAGCATTTAAAGGCTTTTTTCCCCATATAAAACCATATTTGTCATCAAGTAATTTGTTGAGAGTAGATTGTATTGTTGTATTACAGACATTACTTCGATAACTTAAAAGGTAGGACATGCCAAACTTAACACGGTGTCATCAGCATATTGGCTTATTTTAGGCTTATTATTAATTTCAAATCCTCATTGTAATATTTAATCTAGAAAAAAAAAGAGACAATGTATTCCTAAATCTATTATAGATAAATAAATAGTGGTATTAGTTTGAAGATATATCACTACTAGAAGAGGGGTTTTGGCCCTAAGATAGAAAGAGAAAAAGGTAGGTTGTAGTGAATGATAGAAAGTGTTAATGATACAATGGTAAAATATAAAATATAACTTTTATTTCCAAATTTTACATTTTAAAATGGTATAGAAATTCCTGGTACTAAGATTCTAGAAGCCATGTAGTGTGAGCTTCAAGGCAGCATATACATCAAAGCAAATAGTTGTCTGGTGAACAGCATGCAAATCAGAGCAAAAAAGGTTGAGAGATTCTGTAAGTCAGGTGGGGATGTCTAGTACTGGTTATAGTTGAATCAATTCCAGGCAAGCAGGGAGGGTTTAAAAGCTGGTTGTACTGTATGTCCCTACATATCTGGCAGCCGGCACTTGTCCCCTCCATGTTGTAAGTCCCAGTTTTTGAAAGTAATTGCTCAGTTGAAAAAAACCCACGTGCATACATTAAGTTCTAATTGTCAGCGGTATATCTAAGAGATATCCTAGGGAAATCAAGTAAACAAATTCTCTAATGGACCAGAGGCTAAAAAGTATTCTGTGATTGAAGCAGAATCTAAGTGAAAAAGCCTTCTGGAGCAAAAAGCCACATCAGTTTGCACTCAATGCGCGTTTCATCCGCCTAATGTTGCCCGGAGTCAGCACTCCTGATGACTTTGCTTTTTTGTTTCTCTCTTTTTTCCTTGGTGGTTTCTTTGTTTATTTGTTACATGTTCTTTATGTTTGTCCAATGCACTGCCTTGGAGCTCACACTACATGACGTCTAGAATCCTAGTACCAGGAATTTCTATCCCATTTTAAATTGTAAAATGTAGAAATAAAAGTTATATTTTACCATTGTATCACAAACATTTTCGATCATTCACTACAACCTACCTTTTTCTCCAATATTTAATCTAATTTCAGAAGCAAGAAGTTCAGCTACCAAAATATACAAGAGAGATGAAAGGGGCATCCCTGCTGGGTGCCATTTGCTATATAGAACCATTCTGCTTTGAAGGGACACTCCAGTGCCAGGAAATCAAAACACTGTAGGTCCCCTCTCCCTCCCACCCCCATCCCATGTTGCTGAAGGGGTGAAAACCCCTTCAGTGACTTACCTGAGACCTCCGCCGATGTCCCTCGGTGGTGATTTAGGCTCCGCCCATGCTCCTCCCCCGCCGACATCAGCCGGCGGGGGAGACCGATTGCACATGCCTGACCGCCGGCTGGATGAGACCTAATGCGCATGTGCGGCAATGTCGTGCATGCGCATTAGACCTCCCCATAGGAAAGCATTGAAAATGCTTTCAATGCTTTCCTATGGGGATTTTAAAACCTGTGCTATAGACCAGGAAGTGCCCTCTAGTGGCTGTCTAGTGGCTGTCTAGTAGACAGCTACTAGAGGAGGAGTTAACCCTGCAATGTAAATATTGCAGTTTATGAAAACTGCAATATTTACAGTTGCAGGGTTACGGGTAGTGGGAGTTAGCACCCAGACCACTTCAATGGGCAGAAGTGGTCTGGGTGCCTGGAGTGTTCCTTTAATACCTCCACCCACAATTCTGCTTAAAGCTGCTGAGTAAAGAGCCATAATTGTAGACAAAATGTCTCCAGAGAAGCCAAATACTTTTAAAGTTTCTCTCATAAATCACCAATTTACTCTATCAAAAGCTTTCTCCCCAGGTGGCGTGGCTAACCGCCGAGAGTAATGGACATTTGATCCCAGCTCCGGCAAACAGGGTCGACAATACACTGCAATCTACCAGATTGGGGCAACCCTAAAGCACCTGGACACACTATGGCACAACAGAAGAGCAGGAAGAATACCAGCAAAGCAGAAAAATTACATTTCTTAGGAAATAAAACCCAATCTGAGCACGAAATCAATTGGGCCTTCACACAAGATGGTGGCGCCAGCTCAGATGGCCTCAATTTTCCCGCTCCCACGGAGAACGAGCCAGACTCTGACAGGCTCACGAAAAGCCATCTACAAATGCTCTATCACAAAAACTAATCACATCATGGCAGCACTCGATGGACTTGGGAAACGTACCTCCCATGTGGAATCAAAGATGGAGAATTTCGCCTCTGCACACAATGACCTGGCCACACACGTGGAACAGTTGGAACAAAAATTGGTAAAATTAGCGGACCTTGTAGACAGAGCTCACAGGAACAATTTGCGCCTCTGGGGAATATTCAAAACGATTCTACCAGAAAATTTACAAGCCTATGTCAGTGGCATCCTCCAAGCCTACGCACCAGAAATACTGGCAGACATGTTACTCATCGACAGGATACACTGTCTACCACGTCCAAGATTCCTCCCAGACACCACTCCAAGAGATGTGCTGGTGCGTGCCCATTATTACCACATCAAAGAGCACGTACTGCGAGCCGGAACAAGGGGAAACCTCCGGCAAATTTTCCTAATGTCAAGCTGTTTGCGGATTTATTAGCTTCCACTTTGCGCAGGAGAAAAGACTTCTCCCAGATTGTGAATCAGCTGAGAGTGCATGGTTTTCAATTACACTGGGGATTCCCAACCAAGACGTTGGTAACTAAAGAGGGCACTTTGCATGTCATTTCCTCACCAGAAGAAGGCCTTTGCAAGTTGCACTCCTGGGGGTTCAAGGAACAAATCCCAGAGGCCCACACGCCACCGACAAGCCATCTGCCTCTGGAATGGAGCAAGGTTCTATATCTATATCTATATCTTCCCCTTATGCTCACCTGCCTGGATTACTTTGGGTTGCTACAAAAGGTAACACCAAACTCACCTCTTTGCCTTGACATTGAAGTTTGATTGCTTGAGAAGACTTCATATCCTGGCTCCTGAGTTTACCTGTGGATTTTCCTTTTTGGCTACACCAACCTTCTCCAAACTTATCTGTGCAACTTTTGCCTTATATACAACCCTGCAGCAAACCTTCCTGCAGAACATCCAACTTGCTTAAATCAACACTGGACTTTCATTTACTTTGTGGATATCTAATTACTCCTTCCTCGAATTTACTTATATTTCAATCTACTTTGCATCTATCACAAAGGACCTGCTACTACTATATAACCTCTTAACCACTGTACAGAGACTGTACAACAACCCTATTTAAGTATTCATATTTCTGTCTAGTGTTTAGTTTTCTTATATCCTGTTCTGAGGCATATTGCCTAAATCCTGTTTTCCTATTTCCCATGTATATAGAATCTATAATCTCTTACAGGTTTATCTTCTATTATATTTCCTATAACTACAATGATAGGATATCTTGTATTAATTAGTATGTCTAAGATATCAAATAAAGACCCTGCAATTAACCCCAGTTTAAGTCTCATCCATGACCTGCACAAGATCATGAAAATGTGGCAATTTTTGATAGCACTTCCCTCCCTCTTTCAGTCATGTGTGGTGTTCCCTAAGGCTCCATACTTGGTCCCCTGCTATTCACATTATTTATAAATGATCTGCCCAACATCTGCAAATCCTCAACTGTACACATGTATGCAGACGACACTGTAAAACCAAGCTATCACAGCTTGAGGCTGTGCTCCAAAACCAATTCACAGAGGTAGAAAAGTGGATAGCAGATAACCAACTCTTCCGCAATTATGGAATAACCTCAGGGACACAGTCAAATCTTAATTCAATGTAAAATCTTTTAAGAGATCTATGGCAATATACCTCAGCATAGAATGCACCTGTCATGGTTGAATATATTTATTACCTGTTATGTAATTTGTGTGTATGTATAAAACAATATATAGTTTGTATATTGTATTTTTGTAATATTGTATCCTATTGTAACAATACAATGTTTTATGGACACAGGACATACTTGAAAACAAGAGAAATCTCAATGCATCCATCCTGGTAAAATATTTTATAAATAACGTTACTTAATTTATTTAACTTACTAACGAACCCTGCTCGACTTACTTTACATTACCGTTGCATCATATGACACTATACCAGACTGTGCGTTAACAGTCTAATTGTGACTTCTGTGTATTATGTAAATGTATTGTATGCACTGTTCCATACATTGTACAAAATATTGTTTTGGTTTTCTTTTTGTTCTCTCTCTTTTTGGTTGTTTTATTCAAGCATGCGTGGGATAGGCATAAGGCTATCCTAACTATAAGATAAGGCCAGGGACTAATGAAAGTATTTAGAAAATTGGGCAGACTAGATGGGCCGAATGGTTCTTATCTGCCGTCACATTCTATGTTTCTATGCCTTGCTTTCCTATGTCTTGAAACCTCAGTAGAGCACTGGATTGTTCAGCTTGTAAGCCATCCAATCAGCACTCTGTCACAAGCAAGTCTTACTTATTCTTGAGATTTGCCATGAGACCACTCCCAGACTCAAACCCCTTTTTTAGCAAACTGTCAGCAATGACTGCCCAGACACTAGTTTATAGTTGCAGCGAGCAGCCACTAGTTGTTTAGTAGATATGCCCTCACAGGCGGCATAGAAAGTGGAAGAATAAGGGAGGTGTAAAACCTAGCTGAATCTAGTATGGGGGGGGGTCATATCGACATCCATACGTTTTTTTTTTTAATGTCCCAGCTGGCTAGCAAGAGCTGGCCAGCTACCACATGGTTAACCTTCATGCAACCAAGCGTGTTTTAACTATTTGTCCACTAGCACTACCAGTAGGAAAATAGTTAGGATTTTTAAAATCGAGGGTGGATTTCAACAGTCAGGCTCTCGCTGAAATCAGACCAAATTCAGGGTTGTTTGGAGACTTTTATGAAAAATCCAGGCACTGTTAAATAGTATGAACAATATCCAGATTTTATACTCCAAAAGGCTCCGTATAGCAGCCTACGGTTTTCCACTTTGTTACAGGGCCAGTCAGACTTTAGTGAATAATCCTACAAGTTCCATTCCCAGGTCCGATGGTGTACGGTCAATTGCAATGACAAGAACAAACCATGTGTACAGAAAAACAGAAAGCATATGTGCAATATGTATCGTCTCTAAGAGCAGGCAATTCCTGTTTGATAATAGCATATGATAGTGTAATCAAAACTCTATAAAAAGCTGTATATAAAACGGAGACCTTTTGTAAGTACAATCAGACCCTTCACCTTGGGCTGTTACACATTGACCCAAATTTTATCTTTCATCGAGGACTCAGAGTTCCTTTTCAAGTTATGAGCTTGTGTTCTATCTTCTATTCTGTGAGATTTATTGACCCACGTGAATCTAAGTAGTATAATTTTATAGTATTTAATGACAAGCCAAATAAAATATTAGATTTTAGTTTATTTACTTGATGTTCATTACAGAGTGTGATAGAATGGAAAATGATGAACTGTGTATTATGCTAACATACTGTACTTGAGGTGTACATAAAGAAAAAACCACAACACATTATTTAATTTTTTTTATAAATCCAGCAAATTATGTAGTGCTGTACAATGGGTGGACTAACAGACAGATAACCAGACAATTGGACGCACAGAAACAGAGGGGTTGAGGGCCATGCTCAGTGAGCTTACATTCCTGTGCGTCCAACTCGTCTGGTTACAATTACGTGTCTAGTAGTCCACCCATTGTACAGCATTATGGAATTTTCTGGCACTTTATAAATAATAAAATAACAATGTGTTGTGCTTTTTTTATGTGCACCTCAATTGCAGTATTTTACCTAATTATGTTATTTAGACTTGGGTAAGAAAGATAATTAGAATAAAATAAAGTAGAACAAACTAAGAGACAAGTAGAATAAAATAAATAATTTCTGGTTATTGTTTTAAACAAAAAAGTCTACTCCATTTGACACAAAACCATCATTGGAAATTCTAGTCAATAATATCTTAGAGATCAAAGTTTATTTATTATCAGTATTCAGAATGTTACATCTATTCAAGGACACATATAATGATTTAACTAATATTGAAAAACCTGATATTGATACATGCAAAACATGGTAGAATTATTCTTCAAACCTGAGCAAATTACCACATCTTCTTGTCCTCATAGAATGCCACAATGATCAGACTCTGCTTGTCAGAAGTGTCCCCTTCCATATTGAAAGGTCATGTCAAATTTCTGTAATTGTATATGGAGTATTTTTTTTTTTAGAAGTCTGATATCATTTGAAGCCAATCAAACAGACAATAAAGACCCATTTTATTTCTATTCAACCTATAGAACAAAACTGTTAATGTTACCATTATTTCAGCTCCATGTACGTCAATGCAATCAGATGTTCCAGAATTTCACAAAAGACATCATTACAATATGTAGTCTCATTATAAAATCAGACATCTTGGAAGTGTCCTATGCCATCAAGAAAACATATTCACAATGAAATACATTAAAATATATTCTTTCAGTATCTTGATAACCATGGAGGTTCCTGTATTCTACTTAGTGACATTCATTTCTAAACTTGCAAACTGAAGAGTTGTAAGATAGATATATTATATAGTTCTTGGTGTGTAATAATCTAAGGCTTTCTATTTGTGTGTTTTAATGAAAATATGTAAAATATAAAAATTCTAAATATTAATACATTTATATATAACATAAATCGTGAGGGTTTGGAAAGATAGAGTGAGCTTTACTATCATGTCAGATATGTAATGCAGAATGTGCACATATTCTAATGCTTTCCATTGATGTAAATTCGATATTGGTGCAATTTACAGGAGTACATAATAAATGGGTGTCAATGCAAAGCACTAAGTCTTCTCATGCTGTTCAAGCCTGTTTTTTAATATATTGATGTGTTCATTACATAACTTGCTTCTACGCAGAGTATAATTTTTCCTGCATGACAGTACATCTTAGTTCTACATTAGCACCTCTGTTATGTAATAAACCTACATATGTATTGGAAGCTTCTGATAGCCACTCATAAAATATAAAAATGCTTAACATTATTTGTCATACTCAGATAAGATATGAATTGTAAATTAACATATTTGTGAGTCATGCTGATCTGGATATGAAGACTGTTTTCATTCAGATTAATTAAAAAAAAAAAATGGATATTCATCTCAGACAAAAGTATTCGGTAAAGTTTGATTTGTAAGGAATTGCAGACAAAAGCTGTCGAAAAAGCTTGTTTGGCTAATGCTTTAGCTTTATAACTTCTTCCTCAACGCATCAAGCTCTAACTCTAAAAGGCTCCAGTCAGCCATTCATCATTCTAAGATTTGCAAAATAAGTACCATTGGCTTGGGTAATTGTAAGATCATATCAATTAGTAAAGAAATCTTCATGTGACCTATGTGGTAAGATGCTATACCATAAACAGGTGCACACACACACACACACACACACACCACACCCACCACCACCACCACCACCACCACCACCCCCACCCACGACAATGACATTTCGTTTGGACGAGCTAAGTGTACCACCTGCAGGTAGTAGATGTGGCTCACATTACAAAATCCTACTAGTGTTTGGAAAAGGCAGGACTGAAAGACAGCATTA